AAGAGAGACAGAGATATTTCACCTTTAGATTATGCAAAAAAAAAAAACAAACTGAAACAAAATAAAACCCCATTACCCTATTTTTTTCTGTAAGATTTTACCTTTTCTAGGCCTTATATTCTTGGGTAAGAGTTAACTCAATGTCTTTCACTTTAGTCCAGCTGGTAATTACTTACTCAGTCTTCTGACTTTTGTCCCTCTTCCTGGAGTGAGGGGTCTGGGTGTTGAGGGAAACCTGTGTGTCTTTCTGTTAGAGATCCAGGACCTCAGGTCCATGGGGGGCTTTTTGCCCTCTGTGGGCCACTGCTTTTAGTACATGTGCAGCTAAAATGAGCGCTGGTCCCTGCTTTGGAAGATGTCCCTGTGCACAAAAAGCATGTCCCCTCCTGAAAGCTCAGCTGGGTCCTCCTGGAAAGTAAGCTGACTTGTTCTTCACCTCCCTTGGGATACTTTTCAGCAACCAGACCAGCTTGGCGCCTCTAGACTGCCCTTCCTCCAACACTGCTTTCTTACAGCTCAGTTTGAGTTGTCAGTGTTTATGTCAGAAGCTGAGAGCTAAACCCCGGTATTCATTTCTTCTGCCACAGTAACAGAACTTGTTGTTGGGCTAATGTCTCCCTTGGAGGACAACTGCATTATTCAGCCTTCTTTGTGGGTAGCGGTGGCTGCGTGGCTAAGTTCTGATCAGTGAGATCTGAGAACCTTAAATCACACCTTTCTGTATTTCTCTCTTGTTGGTTAGAATGTGGGTATAGTGGTGGTGGTGAGCTGTTGGTGTCCATGTGGTTGATGACACCCCAGGGACGATAGAGCAACAAGATGAAGAGAGTCTGGGTCTCTAAATTTAGGTATGTACAATTATGCAAAACTCCTATTTGACTCAGATTTGATTATGTTGTTGGAATCTCCCCACTGAGATTGAGTCTCTGCTGCCCTTTCTCCTCCTTCCTTACCCAACTGAAAGCCAGCACCCTCAGGCAAGGCCGATGTGTATAGCCCTGGTCTTAAGGATTGACATGTTTGGTGGTAACAAAGGATCATGGATCCACAACAGGACTTAGGGAAGAGCTGCAAGCTCAAATTGGGGTAACACTATTCTGTAGGGCCCCTACATTTGCAGGGATGGGGCAAAAGTTGAATGGAGGCTCCAACCCTTACTTTCTCCTTCCTAGCACATGGGGGCCTCCTATGGGAACACCCTGCTTCATGTTCCAACTCTGTGTTGCCACCTTTAGGAAGAGCATTCACCTAGTCTATGTGAAGCCCTGGGTTCACTACCCAACCTTGGAAAAAAGTTGTATACATTGAAACTGCTTGGGATCTTTTAAATGACACATTCTGGTTCATCAAGTCTAGGGTGGTGCTGGGACTCTGCATTTCTAACAGATTCTCAGGCTGCTGGTCTGTGGGCCACAATCTGAGTAGTAAGGTTCTAAAGCACAGGGTCCAAGGAGGTACTGCTATCCTGAGGAGCCTTCATTTTGGCAGTCATGAGGGATTTCTCGCTGGACTCGTCTTTCTCATTAGTTTGCCTCAGCTCTGACTGGGTGTAGTCTGACTCGACTGCTCTGTTCTGGGTCAGGGGCTAGCAGACCCTTTGAAACCTGGCAAAAATACCCCAGTTATTGCCATCCCATCAGGCCAGCTTGAGACATGACTTCAGTACTTTACATTGCTGTCAACTGTTTTCCTTTCCATTTTCATTGGCAAAGACTGAGTGATGAGGGCCGTATGGACCCTAAAGGACATGTCCCACCCAGTGTCATGTGGAGCGAGAACGAGGCAGGATGTGTAGAAAGGGGCCTGACCCCAGGAGCTGGTGCCTAATCCTTCTGTCACACAGGCTGAGGATCACTTCCAGACCTGTAGCAAAGAGAAGCATAGGACTTACCTTACAACAAACATGACAGTGAATCTTTCCTTGTGTGTTGTATAAAAGCATAGCTAAAGACTAATGAAAACTCACCCGATTCTTCCCACAGAATGCGAGTTTGGGTCTCTTGAAGACTTGAACTGAAGAACTCTCTCCTGTGTTTTTATATATGGATGTGCTGGGCAGAGGCAACCCTGCCTGATGATCAGAATCAGACTTTTGATGCCCAGAGAGGCCTTCCTGAGGCAGACCACACTTCTCACGGTTCTGTCACCGTGTGTGGTGGCTCTCTCTTAGTTCACATTCAAGGCCAGTCCCTGCTCTGCCTCATTTAAAGACACCCTGCTCCAAGACAACTTGTTTGGGGGTGGAGCTCAGTAATGGGAAGTTAGATCGATTCTAAGCAGTCTAGGTGTCTTCCAGTGCCCTGAAACCCATGCTTCTGTTGTATAGGCTGTGTGTTTTGCCACAATCGTCCCAGAGAGAGGGAATCTTGGTTAGGGGCCAGTGCGAGCATTCACAGGGATTTCCTGTCCAGCATATGATCTTGCAACTTCATCTTGGGTTAGGTGCTGCAGCTGTGTGATCCAGTATCACTGTGCAAAGGCACGATGATCTCCAGATTCCTGGAAAGCCCCCAGTCCTCCTTTCTCTGGAATCACTTTTTTGTCAATGTCCACTAGGAATGGCTGCTGTTCCCACCCCACCTATTTCCTGCAGGATTTTTGAAGCCCCTCAGTGCTACCTCGCATCCTGAATTTTTGCCTCCACTAAATACAGGTGCAGCTTGTCTCCCCTGACTTTTAGAGAACCCTCATTACCTCTGTGTCCCGCCCATTTTCCATATTTGTCCAGAGTCATGGCCACAATTTTGTTGCACACAGCACATTTGGGCTGAAGGTTTAAGGGCAATGGAAGGGATTACATACCTTAGCAGACCAAGGAAATAATATATACTGGACGCTGTGAGCCTCACTGGCCATCTTTTGCTTGGTCGAATATCTCACTGATCCTCTTTCACCTCAGGGTGGTGAACTTTCTCTCCAGAGACTTCTTCTTTCTCTCCTTTCAGGGCCCTAGACCTGTCCCAGCGCCTCGCAGGGAGGACAAGATTTTTTTGACTTTATCAGACAGTGCCATCTCTCCCCTTTCCTTGGTGGCAACGTTGTGCTTCCCCGCCATTGCTGATGATCTCATCTTTCACGGTCACCCATGACTTAGCAGGACATGGTAATTCCTTCAGTAGTATCTGCCACCAAGATTAGTACTACTCTCCAAATGAGCAAAGAAGCCTTTATACCGAGCTACATTTCTAACCCTTTTCCAATTTATTTTTATTTTGAAAAGATCTTCCTATTCCCTATTATCTATCTTTGGTTTTGCTCTTTAAATTGATTATACTTTGGGAGGGAGAAGTAGAGCTGAAGAGAGGTGGGGTGGGAGGAGGGAACAAGGAAGTGAAAAGAACTAAGGTGTGTTATGTCCGTGTACCAACTCCCCACAGTGAACATAATCATTATGTACTGCAAATACGGATAAATACAAATTTTAAAAACACAAATCCTGCTAAGTTGTTGGGGTGGAGCTTGAACATATGAGCTTCCTGCCTCAGATTCCCAGAGTGCTAGGATTCCAGGCATGGGCCACCATGCCCAGATCATCTTGTCTTTTTTGCCCTGACTTCTTTCCTTCAGAAATTTTAGACATAACAAAAATTTTGGAAACAGTTTGTGGTTTCTCAAAATATTAGATACTGAATTCCGTATGATCCAGCCATTCTACTTCTGGATGTAAATCCCAAATGAATGGAAAGCAAGGACCGGAACAGGTATCTGTATAGCTTGGGTTCACAGCAGCATTATTCAGAATAGCCAGAGGGTGTAAACCATCCCAGTGTCCATTAACAGCGGTATGGATAAACAAAACATGGTGTACGCGCATACAATGGAGAATGATTCAGCCTTAAGAGGGAATCTGGTTCTGCCACACGCTATGACACGAATGAGCCTTGTAAACATGACATGAAGTGAAATGAATCAGACACACAAGGACAAATACCGTGTGACTCCAGTTCTATGCGACAGCTAGAGTGGTCCCCGTCCACAGAGGCAGGAAGTGGAGTGAGAAATGGGAAGTTACTGGTTCATGGATGCACAGTCTCCGTTTGAGGTGGTGGAGAAGTTTTGGAGATGGATGGTGGCGATGGTTGAATAATAGCGTGAATGTACTTAATGTTGCTGAATTGTTCCCTTGGAAATGGTTAAAACAGCAGGTTTTTATGTTGCATGTATTTTATCACAGATTTTAAAAAACGCGAATTGAGAGTCTTGGCTCTTTCAGTTCCACCCCCTCGGGCCACACCCTCCCAGCCTGTCCCTGGAGAGCCTGGGAGGGGACAGGTGAGGGCCAAGGGCAGATTTGCTAGCTGTTAAGGCACAGCTGTGCCTGGGAAGCAGGAGGGGCTGTTTTTCAGCTTCTGCTTCTCCTTGGGACTCAGCATTAATGCTTGGCTCACAGGTAAGCCCTCCCTCTACAGATCCCAAATACTTTGCAGTTTTCAGTTTTCACCTGTCTTTTGATGGAGCTGAAGCCAGCTCCCTCCTTGGGATTAATATTCACAACAAGCAGAGAGCGATTAATTTAAGCAGTTGAAATTTATCGTGCACTCGCCTGAACTCAAAGCCAGCTTCTTCTGGGTGTTTATTTTTCAGTGTCGATGCATCGCCGTGACAGCTTTGAGCACTTGAATTTGAAATGCACACACCATTGTGCATGGTCCCTGATGCCTCCCCCTGCTCTTGCCTAACCCCCCGAAAACTAGGGGGCTCTGAGCTCCGTGTGTCTCCAAGTCTCAGAAAGGTAATTCTTGATTGCTGACCTATGGGAGCAGTCGTGAGCCTTGAGGCAGTGTGAGATTTGGGTTTTATGCCCAGTGCGTGGAGCAAGTGATTTATTTCATTTCAGGGGGCTTCAGTGCATAAATCACGACTGTAACTTACGAGCACATCCTGCCCCTGCTTCTGGCTGTCACAGACACCACCAGAGTCTGGGGCTGTCTCTCAGAGTGAACATGAAACATTGTCTGTAGTATTCACCCTTGCTTAGGGCTGCACATGTTCCAGGGGGCATTGTGTGGGGCATTGAGCCCCCAAAGCCCCTCCTCCAACCTCCCCACTTTGCCTCAAGCCAACCCTCCCTGCAGTGACTGTCTAGAGGGGACTCTGGCTGCTGGTGCCTAACAAGGCAGAACAAAGGCCTGCGTGCTTGCAGAGTTCCATTTGGAGTGCATGACAATTTCAGAGCACAAATGGGAAAAGAAAAAAAAAAAAAAAAAAAGAAGGCTTGAAATCTATAACTGGCTTTTATCAAACCAGAACTTGTAGTTCTCTGCTGACAATCAGCCAGCAGCTAAAACCCACGAGGGATGGTTCTTACTCGCAGCTTCTGGCTGGCTATTAGCTACCCGCAGCCTTCTGACCCTTTTTCCAGGGAAGTAACAGCTGGCAGCTGACAAAGGCGCTGGCAGAGTGGGCAGCTTTTGCTTCTCTGGGAACGGATATAAGATTGGCAGGAAATAAGGCATTTAAAATATGAACGATTATAAGCATTTTCATTTGCCTTTATTATGCTCTTGGATTCTGGCTGTGATTGCTAAAATGTGTTTTGTGCTATGGAGATTTGATGGCATTCTTCCCTGAAAAGTAGATGTCCCCGCTCTTTTCCTGTGACTGATACCAGTCCAGATAAAGGTGGATTCTGTGTTCTTTCTCCTCAGCTGTCCTTCAAACAGTGTTGATAACTAAGGCGACAGGCTAATGGTTGTGAGAGCAGAGGGGCTTAAGTGTGGGGCTGCTGAATAATCAAAATGCAGCTTTAGTGCACTTGGGCCTTTGGGCAGGGCCTTCAGTGGTGTCATGGCAGTTAGAGAAAAACGAAAATTGGGATGAAGTACGTAGTCAGGTATAGACGGGTCAACTAGAAGTGGACTGGATAAAGTTTACTTGAGCCTAATTTTTCCAGAGTCCCCTCTAGACAGCTCCTTTATTTGGTCAGGAAGGGCAGAGGTGGAGTACCCAACAGGAAGCCCTAGTGATGGGAGACAGGGTGGCACCACTGGGAGGGCAACAGGGCACCTTGTGTCACACCCACACTTTAGCTCTGGGTCCCTGCTGCTTTGCCACAGAGTCTCCCCTGGCGGGACATAGCACTTTGGGAGCATAGCCATCTACACTACCCGCGATACTGCCATTTTGCTTTCATTAATGATATCACAGTCTGTTTATTGTAAGGGCTGATCTCTATTGGACATTTTAAGTAAGAGTAGGAGTTCAAGTAATGTTTGTCCAAAGAACATCTGATGGATGGGGATGGGGACAGGAAGGCTGGGTTCTGGCCCCAGCTGGTCAGGAGGACAGTGGGAAACTGAGACAGTCAAGAGGACTAGATGGAAAAAGTATGCTTCCATTAGAGGTATAAATGGTACAGGTATATGCATTGACTTGGTAAGCCGGATAATTTCAGAATTGTGGATTCTGTTTCTTACATTTGTATCTCTAAAAAAATGAATCATTATTGAGACAAAAGCTTATTTTTCAAGATAGTGGACCACTACCTCCCACAGACTCATTCAATTGACAAAGAAGGCATTAAAAAAAAAGATATAAGTCCACAATTTTTAAGAGAATCGGGAGAAGAACAGTAAGGGAAGAGTTAATTTGCTAGGTAAGTTTTCCTGTGCCATTTGCTTTTAAAGCACGTAGATATAGTATGTTGATTTAAAAAAAAAAAAAATATATATATATATATATATATATATGTAGAAAAATTAGACAGGACCTTTATTGCCTTGCTTCTACACCAGCTTTTAATGAAGTCCACACACACCGACCAGGCATTGTGGTGCCCACCTGTCATCCCACCTATTGCAGAGGCTGATGCAGAACTCTTGAGCCCAGGAGTTTGGGGCCAGCTTGGACAACATAGCAAGACTGTCTCAATAAAACAAAACAAAAAGACCATGTGTGCTCCTCTGAAAGAGGGAGCTACCATCATATTCTCAGCAGCTCTCAAAGGAAGGCAGTACTTTCTCCTGCACAGAGATGTTTTCTTGTTGATGATCATGTTGGATTCCCATTTTTTCTTGCAGTCTGAAGTCTTCCCTGTCAGAAGGAGCTGATGTACGCTGGGAGGAGCCCAGCTCTGTTCAGGAGAATAAAATGTCCACAGCTGGCCCCTTTATGTTTTATATGGCAGCACACTTTATTAAGTGTGATTAAAAAATGAAACCACAAATGGAGGAATGTACTGAGCATATCAAAGGACAATATTTGTCACACAACCAGTAAAATGAGTATTTTCATTCTATTTCTGGTGCTGTTAGGCTGACCTTGGACAACCAAAGACATTTTTCACTGAAATAAACAAAAACACTAAATAGCCATGGTCAGCCCATGGCAAAATTGTGAAATTGGCCAAGTTCTTTTTTTTTATTAGGATTCTCCCATCCTCCTTTGTGTCTTTCTTCTTACTGATCCCTCCGCTCAGCCCCAAGGCACACCTACTGCTCCCTTAAGTGCCAGGAAAACAAAATAAGCTTCACAGGAAAAACACTAAAAGGGAGCAAATACATTTTTGAAAAGTGTGCAATGAAGGACGAATGTGAAATGGAGAGGCAATGAATTAATAATTGGCACATATTCTGGAAGACAAAGAAAAGATTGAGACTATGTTGAGCCCAATGTCTAATGCCATAGTTCCAGATGAGGCAGGTCAGAGAAGGTATTTTGTGGCAGGGGTGTTTTTTAATATTGCATACATCGCACTAGGGAGGTCATGTGAATATATATTAAGATTGATTGGGATAATTAAATGTTGCTTCAAGGCAGGACAGGCCTTGAACTCTCAGCTTAGGTTCATTTCCATTCCTACATGTGTCTGAGACTGAGTAGATTCCCATAAGTTTCCCTTCTGCTTTTAAGTACACAAATGCCCAATATTTCCTGGAATCCTGGGATCTAGGTGGAACAAGCAACAAGTTGTGGGCAGTGGAAGGTAGGCAGGGGCAATAAAAGTCATTTCTAGTTGTGGCCCCTAAAATGTCCCATTAGAAAACAGGGGTCAGGGATTTAACTCAGAGGTTTCACTGCCTGCCTCTCAAGCTCAAGGTCCCGAGTTCGATCCCAGGTAACAACAACAACAACAAAAAACCCAAAAACAGGGATAATGGTGTCATTAGTTAGAAAGAGACTGAGTCACAGCTCAGAAGAGAGACACTCACTGGACACGACTCAGCTGTATGAAGCTTCTGAGAATTTTTAAAAATTTTATTTATTTATTTTAGTACTGGGGATCGAAGCGGGGTCCTTATGCTTGCGAGGCAGTAGAACCACTGAGCTAAATCCCCTACCCTGAGACTTTTCTTACTAAAGCTCCTATTAGCTACCCTGACTGGTTTCAATCCTACATTTAAATAGCACAGAGATAATGTCCATCATTCCTTTGTGTAAACTTGTCAAAATGGCGGAACTCAGTCACGTATCCTCTTCGGTTCTGTCTCCTAGGTGTGGGATGTCTGCTTTCCAGAATAATTTCCCACGGTGCAGTGGTGAGGTTCACAGAACGTGGTGACCAAGTTCTGCTCCTTGAAGATGAGCTTCAAGGTAGATTCTTCTTTGTCGGCCTCCAGGAGTCTGTCATTGGTGAAAATGGGCTTGGCATGGGTGCACACAACTGAATGCACAAGAGAACTCCATGAAAGAAGGTCCTCTTTCCCCTCTTCCTGAGATTCAACCTCACTGCATCTGTGAGCCCCATTCCTGGCCCACACCATGTGCCCACTGGAAGGGCCCTCAGGGTCTGGGTTCAGTTTCTTTCATTCACTGATAAGCAGACATGAGCAGAAATGAGCTTGGTTGCCCTCTCAAATACCTTGAAAAATGCATTGTTTCCTCATTTAGATATGTATATTTATATTAGATATGTATATTTATATTAAATTTGTATTTTGTACCCATACGAACATATACACTTTGCCCCCTTCAGACCAACTCACCAATATGCATGGGCTCTTTGCGGTGTGCGTGGGTGAAAGAGAATGACATTCCACAGAACTTCCTGACTGCAAATCCTGCACTGGGCCGCTGTGCTGCCTCCTGTGCTCATGGGACTCTGACTTCCTGGAACGGGTGCTGGGAGGGCCTATCTCCCAGGCCTCTGAGATGCCAGGCCCTCCGGGAGAAGCTCATGCACCCTCAGAGGGCTCTTTATGTGAAAACGGCAGAACAGTGTGGCTCTCCCAAAGGTCTGCATGCTGTGAGCCAACACCTCATGAGTAAATCACTTTTAACAGCAAGATGTAAAGTTTATGGAGAATGGACATAAATTTGGGTCTGGAAAGAGCACAGTTTCCTGTGATGACAGGCAGCTAGGCTGGTGTGTCTAACACCACAGTCCTTTTAACACCCGCCCTACCCCATGCCCTGGGCTGCAAAGGATATCCGTGCCAGCCTCAGAAGCCCAGAAGAACACAAAATGAGCATGTACAGAGAGAGCCAGGGCAGAAAATAGTACCCAGCATCCGAATCCCAGGTCAGGAACTACTCTTCCTACTAAGCAGTAGACTTGATACAAAGGTTAGATGACACCGAAGGCCATAGCCTCTGACACCAAACAGACACTCTTCTGGAGGTCACGGTGAACTCCTGGGAAACTAGGATTAGAAAGAAGGGAGGAGGAGGAGACAGATGAAAAAGAGAATATTTTATCTCCTGTTTTTGGACATAGAGCTACACAATTATACTTTAGAATTCTGCTTTGAGACAAACAATCTCTGAAAGAACTCACGAAATCTAACAGAAATCTAACATTTTCAGGAGACTTTAGTATTGGAATTGATACCAGCTCGCTGTCCCACAGATTGGCCTCAGGACACATATTTTCAGCTTTATCCTTGCCTCATTGGGGTTGCATAGGCTGACATTCGTGAATGAGAGGAACTCTGGGGTCTGCACAGCTGAGTGTTTCTCATACATGTAATCCCCAAACCCCTGATTTGTCTGTGACACCTTCAAGGCCATACAGGGTGCTATAGAATAGAACTCACCACACAGAGGCAATGGTGAGCTCAAGTGCAAAGGTCAGGCCATAGGGGCTGGGGCAGAGGGAGGAGGAAGGGAGCATCGTCAGGAGAAGAAAGTGAAGTGCCTTTTCTGGGCAAGTCCTGGTACCCGCCCCAAAAGCTAGCACTCCAGGGGTCCCCAGGGAAGCCAGAGCAATGGAGCCAGCTCACAGGACCGCAAGAAAGTGGTATGCTTCGAAGACCTGGCGTGTTCCAGGTGCACTGGCTCTTTGAATCCTTAGAAGGAAGAACTGGGGACAGAGGAGGCAAAGGGGGTCTGGGATTGACTAAGGATGCCAAAAAGTTTTCGATCAAACTGAGCCCCTGAAGAGGAGGCAGCACAGCCCGGGGATTAGGTCACTGGACTGTGGATCCCAGCAGTCTGCTTTCGATTACTGGTTTTCCCCACTTATTGGCACACAACCTCGGGCAAGTCACTCAGGCTCCTTCTTGTCCAAATCTCCATTACGAAATGGGGATCATGGCCTTAATACGTGTAAGTGTTTAGAAAGCACCAGGCATTTTTCTTTTGTTTTTGTTTTTTGACAAGGTTTCGCTGTGTAGTTCAGGCTAGCCTTGAACTTACTGTGTAGCCCAGAGTGGCCTTGAACCCATGGTGATGCTCTGGCCTCAGCCTCCAGAGTGCCGGATTACAAGCATGCACGACCGCGCCTTGCCGAACCAGGCATGTACAGGGTAACTCATTCCTTGTACTCTCAGCATCCATAGGGAAAGACATGAGAAGCAAATGGAGGTCTCTCTCCTCCCCCATGCTTGAGGCTGTCTCATACTTCCTGAATAGTATAGAGATTTTTTTGGCAGACACAGAGGACAAAACTCATGAAAATAAACGAAGAGTGGCTACATCCCTGAATTCCTCCCCTTTCCTTAGGCAGCATGGGGTGGTGGAAAGAACTCTGGGTGGAATGTCAAGGGACCTGGCTTTTATCTCAGCTTCAAGGGAGGGACGCGGACGATATTCAGTCAGCCTCCGAGGCTCCCATAGCTCCTGGGTGAGGACTTGAAGATAATCTAGTCCACATTATTGATGCCAGTGTTAGCATTCACAGTCTCCAGCGTTGAACAATTCTAAACGCTCTATACGCAGTAGTGAATTGGATCAGAGTTGAGAGTTGTTACTGCTATACCCACTTTGCATCTGGGAAAAGAAGAGTTAAACATTCTACCTCGATACTCTGGAGGGAGTAGACTTACATTTATGTTTTCTTTGAGTAGACTTTCTCAATTATTTTGCTTTTGTTGAGGAAAAGCTTACATTGCAGGCATGTGCAACCATCTTACAGGTACATCACAGCCGGTTGTTACATACATATATATATATCTTTGTAACCACAAGCCCAATTAGGACTTAAAACATTTAAAACACTTAAAACATTTCATTCACTCCAGAAGATTCCCCTGTGCTTCTCTCCCAAAGTCACCAACCCCAAACCCCAAGATAGCTACTAGGCTAGTCTTGGCCATTAATGAATTCTGTTTGCTTCTGAACTTCATATAAATGGAATCATGCAGAATTTACTATTTTGTGCATGGATTGTTTTACTCAACAGTTTGATTTTTGAGATTTTATCCATGTTGTGATGTGCATAAACAATTTGTTCTTTTTGGTATTCCACTGTTTGAATTTTTTTAAAAAATTAAATTTACTGGTTCATTTTAGGTATACATAATGATCACATTCAGCAGAGGGAACTTGTACCTGTACATATATCTTGGTTCTTAACTTTCCCATTCCCCTTCCCTCCCTTCAACCCTTCCACCCCTCCTTGTTTACAAAAGCTTTATTTTCATTTTTTTCTTTCCCATCCTTCCTTTCCCCACCCCCTTCTAGTTCCCCTTCCCATTTGAATATTTTCTTCCTATTTCAAAATATCTATTACACATTTTGGTCCTTATTTACACTTTCTGTTTCTCACACCAGAGAAACAGTGTGGTATTCACACCTGTGTGATGTAAAAGTATGGTCTTGAGTGCATCCATTTAGCTATAAATGTCTCAAGTGTATCCTTCTTTATGGCTGAGTAGTACTCCATTGTATTAAAACAAACCACATCTTCTTTATCCATTCATCAGTTGCTGGGCATTTGGGCTGTTTCCAAGTTATTCCAAGTCATTACAAACTGTGCCACTATAAGCATGGGTGTGCATATAATGCTGTGATATGATACTTTTAATTCTTTCTGAAGATATCAAGAAGGAATGGCTGGATCAAATGCAATCTCTAGTTTTAGTTTTTTGAGGAATCTCCACACTCATTTCCACAGTGGTTGCACCAGTCTACACTTCCAGCAACAGTGGAGAAGGGTTCCTTTCTCCCCACAGCCCTGACAGCATTTGCTATTGGTTGATTTCTTGATAGCAGCCATTGGAGTGAGATAGAATCTCAGTGTGGTTTTAATTTACATCTCACAAATGACCACTGATGTTAAACATTTTTCACATATTTAATTGTTATTTCTACTTCTTCATTTGAGAAGTGTTGATTCATTTCAGATGTCTATTTTTGGATTGGGTCTTTAAATTTGAAGGGTCTGATTTTTTTGAGATTTCAAATATATTCTAGATAGTAGTCCTTTGTTTGAGGAACAGCTGGTAGAAAACTTTTTCCTGCTCTGTGGGTTGTCTCTTTACCCTGTTGGTGGTTTCTTTTGCTGTGCAAAACTTTTTAATAAGATGAGATTCCAGTTTTTGATCCTTTGTGCTAGTTCCCGTGCAACTGAGGTTTTGTTCATAAAGTCCTCATCTATGCCAATGTCTTTGAGAGATCTGCCTAACCTATTTTCCAGCCAGTTTAGTGTTTGATTTTAGTTTAGTGCATGGTGAGAGATATGGGTCTAGTTTTAATCTTTTAATCTTTGGCAAGTTGAAACCCAATTTTTCTAGCACTGTTTATTAAAGAGGATGTTTCTCTGCCAGTGAAGGTGTTTGGCTCCTTTGTCAAAGATGAGGTAGCTGAATACATCTGGAGTTGTTTATGCACCTTCTAATCTGTTCCACTGGTCCTCAAGTCTGTTTCTTTGCCAGTACTATGCTGTTTTTATCATAGTAGCTTTCTTCCACTGTGTAAATTTACCTGCAATTCATTGGTCCATTCTTCTGTTGATGAACATTTGGATTGTTTCCAGTTTGGGCTATTATGAATAAAGTTGCTATTAATATTCATGTACAAATCTTTTTGTAGGTATATGCACTATTTTATTTTGAATGAATGTCTAGGAGTAGAATTGCTGAAACATAGAGTGATAGTATATGCTTAACTTTCTTCCAGTTTTCCAAAATAGTGGAATAAATATTCCCACTAGCAATGAATGACCCTTTAGCGGTCCTTATCCTTGCCCAATACTGAGGCTGTCATTGCTTTCCTCTTATCCATTCCGTGTTTCCTCACTATGACTTAAATCTGCATTACCTGAGAGAAGAGCAGTGCCCAGCATTTCTTGCTTTGCCATTGGCCATCAGGATACCATTTTTCATCATGGGACTTTTGAAGGCTTTGCCATTTCAAAATGAATTATCTTTTTCTTGTAGATTTGTACTTTTAAAATGTATTCTGGGTATATACGGATTACACATATCTCCTCCAAGTCTGTGACTTGCCTACTCACTGGCTTAATGATGTTTTTGGTGAGTATACATTCTTTTTTAGACAGGGTCTCACTATATAGCTATGAATTCCAGGCTGGCCTCAAACTCATGGTGATTCTCCTGCCTCAGCCTCCCAAGGGGTGGATGACAGGTGTGCATCACTATGCCTGGCTATCTTCTTATTTTTAAATAATGTCCAATAGCTTACGTCCTACTTTTACAATTTTTTACAAAACATCCACTTTGCTTTATTTCAACTTTATAGTTGAAGAGAAGGCATCTCTGCCTACTCCTAATTTATGAAGACATTCAATGTTTTCCTTACTGTTTTACCTTTCACATTTAGACATTCTATCCACCTTTGGGTTGATTTTTGCGTATACTGTAAGGTCAGCATAAGAGCACATTACTTTTTCATAGTGATATGCAAATGATTTGACTCCATAGATGAAAAGATCAGCCTTTTCTCTACTGGATTGCTCTGGTGTCTTTTTGTTGCAAACCAAATGACCATAAGCCTCTCTATTTCTGGAGTTTCCGTTCTGTCTGAGTGTCAGTAGCACTCTTTCATAGAGTTTCGTAGTAAATCTTCAAATCTGGTAGTATGAGTCCTCTAACTGTGTTACAGGGTGGTTTGCTATGCCGTGTCCTTTGCATTTCTTTATAAATTTGAGAATCGGGTCAATTTCCTTACTTCTGCTAAGAATGTGCCGTGATTCTTTTTGGAGAGAAGTAACATTTTAATAATATTAAGTTTTCTAATCCTTGAAGATGGAATATATCTTTTTGATTATGTCACACACAAGAATGCCCACAGCAACATTATTCACAACATCCAAAAAGTGGAAAGAACCCAAATGTCTACTAAATGATGAATGGACAAGTAAAATATTTTATATTGACATGACAGAATGTTACTCAGCAATAAAAATTAAGTACAATATACAGAATGAATGAACCTTGAAAACATACTAAGTGAAAGAAGCCAGTTACATGTGACCACATATTGTATGATTCCATTTAAATACAATGCCCATAGCAAGTAAATCTATGGGCAAAGTATATAAGCGGTTGCTTTGGGGCCAGGGAAAAGGGAAGGGACTGGGAAAGAGATGGTTACAAGGTATGGGGTTATTTTTTTCAGGGTAGTGAAAATGCTTTCAAATTGACTTTGGTGATGATAACGCAACTTGAAGAATATTTCAAAAAGTCATTAAATTTTATCAATTAAATGAATGTATCTCAACAATGCTTTTGATAACTTTAAGTCATTTTGTCTATTTTTATAGTTTGTACTGTGTTCTCCCCAAATGGAAATGCTAAAGCTCTAGCTTCTAGAATCTCAAAACGTGACCGTATTTGAAGATAGGGCCCTTCAAGAGGTCATTCGATGAAACTGTAGGGCGAGCCTCAGTCCACCATGACTGGTGTCCTTGTGAGAAGAGGAGGTCAGGACAGATGCAGACATGAAGTACTAGGAATGTGTGTGTGCAGAGCAGAGGGACACAACCAGGAGGTGAGGACAGGAGCCTCAGGGGACAACAGCCCTGTGAAAACTTGATCTTGGACTTCCAGACTCCAGAATTGTGAAAAATAAATTTCTGCTGTACTTTGATGCATCCACCCCAGTGTCCATGTGAATGCTTGTGTTCGTCAACAATAAATTCAGTCTAAAATCTATCCGTATAAATGCTTCTCAAATTGGACCATGTTTTCAGCACCCAAAGAGTTGTCTTTTTAAAAAACATTCTGATAGTAAGCAGCACTTCAGAATTTGTGCATTTCCCCCTACAAAGTAGGAATGCAAAGTAAGAGTCTCTAAATTCAGGGGGAGAAGATAATTCCTGAGAAATAAAGTTCTGAAATACTCAGCATTGTCAAAAATCTTCAACGTGAAAAATCCTGAGGCTGAATGTCTTGCAGTAATTATTATCAAAATCCTCAATTATGTTCAGTTAAAAACATTTCTGTATTTTCCTTTGTAAATAAGGAGGGGTAGAAGGGTTGAAGGGAGAGAAGGAGAGTAGGGAAAAATAAGAACCAAGATATATCATGCACAGGTACAAATTCCTTATGATGAATGTAATCATTATGTATGCCTAAAATGTACCAATAAACTTTAAAAGTTTCTATATGCACTCATGTTTTATAGTAAAAATAAAAATTTCAGTAGTAATATTGGAATGGGTAAAACTATTGGAAATTTCCACTATTTTGAGTTTTGTTGTTTTTTTAACCAATTTAAGTCTTTATTTGTGGGGGGGGGCGGTGGTTGGTACCAGTGATGGAACTCAGGTCCTTGGGCTTGAAAGGCAGGTGGCAGAACCTCTGAGCTAAATCCCCAGCCCCTAATTTGAGTCTTTTAAGGAATTATACTAACTATATTTTTTTCTTTGAAGAAAATAAAAAAACTGAGAAAGTGAATCTCTTTAAACCCCTAAATGTGAATGAATACAAAGCAAGGTGTGAATGGCACATTAGCAAGAGCATGTGAGGGGGCCACGGCCTGATTTCAAGTGGAAGAAATTTGTGTTTCATAGGGAAACTGAAGAACTGTGTTGCTGCAAAGCTGTTTTGAAATCTAATTAATAAATTCAATGTTAGATATTTGATTTGCAACTGTTGGTTTCTTTCTTTTCTTTTCTTTTCCTTTTTTTTTTTTCCCCACATCCACAGGAACACAGAGATAAGAAGAAGCCAGCAGCTGTCCTGCTGCTGTCACCACTGCCCTGTTGATCAGCCAGCCCCAGGCCCATTCCCCATGGGACTAAAATTTTCTACCCTCTGGACCAGTGCCCCTCCCCTACTTAAACTTCCCCACATCAGCCTTGTGAACCCTCCTCTCAGTGCCAATGGCCTTCTCACCCTTGGCCCATCTGCACCTGGATGGCAATAAACTCATTGCATGTTGCTTAGACTTTGCATGCCTCAGTGGTCTCCATCATGCCTCAGTCTGACTTTTCAAAACCTTGGACTTTTAAGCCACTGAGTTTTGAGATGATTTATTTAAGAATAGTGTTAGTGGGCCGGGGATTTAGCTCAGCGGTTCAGTGGCCTGCCTTGCAAGTGCAAGGATCCAAGTTCAATCCCCGGCACCA